TCTGCTAATGCAAGAGCACAGGCAGTCAGTAAGCTTTCTGATATAGTTGCAGTAGTTCGAAGCAGAGCTGAAAAATGCCCCTTGCCACTGGTGGAGGTGGCTGTGCCTCATCTGTGTGGCACAAGGAATTTCTGTGTGTTCTCTTGAAGGCAGGGAAGTTGAGTAGTTCTACACATGTATGTCCTGTGTGCCATTGTGACAGAAATCGGGGCAATTCCCAGCTACCTGCTGTCCCTGGTAATATCTAGCCCTGGGTATCTACACAAGCACTGGCAAAAAGAGGTCACTTTGTAATGTCGTATGGGAAGACCCATATGTCAAAGCCTTTCCTCCTTTTTAGGATCACCACTGAATGCCACTGAAGATGTCTCTGTTGCAAGTGGTTCTGTTTCTCCGGATTGCTGCCCAAATGGGTGCAGCTTGGTGTTTATGATGTTATGGGTCTTGCCTCAAAATAGAGAGGGTGAAGCTATTTTCTGTTTTAAAGGGAAAGGAAAAAAAAAACATTGTTGACTGGACTCAGAAGAAGGAAAGCTCAGGGAATATTAGCACATTGTGGTACTAAGTGTCTCCTAACTGCCAGGTTCACTCTTTGTCTTTAAACAGTCCGATAAGTCTCACTTCTGTGCCTGGAAATATCATGGAGCAGAAGACTGGAAAGTTTCTAAGACTCCTGGAAACTGTGCTAAGGCACATGGAAAAACGGAGAGATGATTGGTGACAGCCAACATGGCTTCACTGAGGGCAAATGGTTCCTGACACATTTGGTGGCATTCTTTGATGGTTTTACACCACTGGTGGGTAAGGGAAGAGCAACTGACATCATCTACCTGGACTTGTGCAAAGCGTCTGACACTGTTCTGCATGACATCCTTGTCTCTAAAATAGAGAGATGCAGATTTGGTGGATAAGGAATTATCTGAATGGTCACATCCAGAGAGTATTGGTCAATGGCTCAATGTCTGGATGGAGATCAGTGACAAGTGGTGTCCCTCAGCGATCTGTATTTGGACTAGTATTGTTTAACACGTTTGTTGGTGACAGGGACAGTGGGATCGATGCACCCTCAGCAAGTTCCCCGGCAGCACCGAGCTGGGTGGTGGGGGACACGCTGAGGGCAGGGGTGGCATCCAGAGGGACCTGGGCAGGCTGGAGAGGGGGGCCCGGGCAAACCTCGTGGGGTTCAACAAGGCCAAGGGCAAGGGCCTGCCCGCAGGTCGGGGCAATCCCCAGCACAAACCCAGGCTGGGCCCTCGAGGAGTGGCTGGAGAGCAGCCCCGAGGAGAGGGACTGGGGGGGTCGGTGGGGGGAAAACTGCCCGTGAGGCAGCCCCGTGCGCTGGCAGCCCAGAACCCACCCGTGCCCTGGGCTGCAGCCAGAGCAGGGGGGCAGCAGGGCCAGGGAGGGGATTGTCCCCCTCTGCTCCGCTCTGGGGAGACCCCCCTGCAGTGCTGGGGCCAGCTCGGGGGCCCCCAACAGCAGAAGGACACGGAGCTGCTCGAGCGGGGCCAGAGGAGGCCACGGAGATGCTGGGGGGGGCTGGAGCAGCTCCCCTGGGGGGCCGGGCTGAGAGAGTTGGGGGGGTTCAGCCTGGAGAAGAGAAGGCTCTGGGGAGACCTTCGAGCAGCCTCCCAGGGCTTAAAGGAGGGGAGGGACTCTGGATCAGGGGGGTGTAGGGATAGGATGAGGGGTAACAGCTTTAAACTGAAAGAGGGTAGATTCAGATTAAATATAAGGATGAAATTCTTTACTGTGCGGGTGGTGAGACACTGGCACAGGTTGCCCAGAGAAGTTATGGATGTCCCCTCCTTGGAAGGGTTCAAGGGACTTTAAGCAACCTCGTCTAGTGGAAGGTGTCCCTGCCTGTGGCAGAGGGGTTGGAACTAGATGATCTTCTAAGGTCCCTTCCAACCAAAACCATTCTAGGATTCTGTGAAGTAGCAGCAAGCTCTGGACAGTCAGTTCTAGGACACTGAGGGATATCCTGCATCTGGAAACCAGATTCCTTGACCAGTGTGCAGAGAAGGAAAAGCCCCAAGGAACAGCTGTCAGCAGAAGGTCATCTTGATCTCTGACAGCAGTGTCCATGGACGAATGCAAGAGTGGGGAGAGCAAGTACAGGTGTTTCAAAGCAAGAAAATCAGAGAACAGGACTCTTGCCTAGCTCAGTGTGTCCAAGTTCCTGGAAAGCTGAGCTGCCTGTGACAGATTTTTAATCAGATTGTTTGAATTTAGGCATTAGGACTCAATTAACCCTCTCTTGCAAAGCTGTAGTTTCCCCCCTAAAGAACCTGTGAAGTTAGCCTGAAAGAAAAATCTAAACGGTTGGCAGTTGTCAGAGACTTCTCTTTAGATGGACTCTAGGTTTTGTGATGCACACCAGAGAGCCAGGAAACGCTTGACACAAGCCAGGACAGGAAGATTAAACACATGCCTCTGGTCTCTGGAGCAGGATGTCTGGTGTAGCTGGGTTGGAGGGGAGTCTTGTAGCACTAATTGGAGTTACAGCGCTGTTGACATCCCTGTTGTTATGCTTAGAGGCCCTGTTGTGCTCAGCAACACATGAGAAATAGACACATTTTGTAAAAGGTGGTCCCTGGCCAAAAGATGAGATTTTGAAAAAAAAAAAAAAAAAAAAAAAAAAAATCAACCTGAGAATGAAAGTGGGACAGAAGCAGACAAAATGTTTTGCATGGGGTTATGCAGCAGGTCATTTGTAGAGAAAGCAGCAGAGCCCTGGTCTCTGCTGGTGGTGCCAGCACCACCTTGAAACCATAGTTGCCTGGGCTCACGTGTTGGATGGGCCAAGGGAAATCTGTGCAATGACGATGATACTCAAAGAGGAGGATTTTGGATGTCTTCTGAAGGCTAGATTTAGGTGCAGCCCACTGAAATCGCATCCTCTCGTTAGTGTAATGCTGCCAGTCCTGATGGCAGCGACAACCTCTGTTTCGGGAGGCAGGACTGCAGTCTGAAGAGCCGTGCCTGCCCTAGGTTTTGTTACCGTTGTTTAGCAGGCATGATGACGGTACGGCGGCACTGGGTTGTACATGACTACACAGGCTGGCTGGAGGCAGGGTAGTGTACGTGCTCCTGCATCTTCTCTGCCTTATCTCTTGAGCTGGTTGTCAACTGTGGTGAAGGCATGTGTGACCGTGGTGTAGATACAGCTGCAGATACATGCTTTCTCCTGCATTCTTACAGAAAAGATAAGGCATGAAATGTGTTCCTGTGCATCTGTGCTTGTGTTTACTGCACTGTATTCTCCAGGGATGCAAATGAACGGGAAGAGTGGGTCAGGCCTGTGGTTTGTCTATCTTGTTTTCCTTTTTGCAGTAGCCAAGAGCACCTGCTGAATCAACCAACACCAGTCCTCAAAAGTCATGGGGAAAGAAGGATTCGTTTGCATTGTTATTATTAAGGCTTCTAGCTTGTTCTTGCTTCATGATTGAAATTGTTTTTCTAGGAAGAATCTTTGCAGTTATGAGTCACTCTGGCTTAAAGGAAGGATTTAGCTTTCAGCTGCCTTTAGCCTTAAAAGGTGATGTTGCTTCTGGTATTTGTCAAGTTTAGGAAAAAAAAAAATATCTAAAAATCATCAGGCAGCTCTATCTTCTCAAGAAAAACTTGACATCTACTTCCTTAGTTCTTTGTTTTAGAAAATCCAAAATAAAGCAATGTTTAGGGAATGCATTGCTGATTCTCCTTTGGGGCCTGCTTGATTTATGTGGCGGTGAAATGTCAGACAGCAACGCTCTAGCACATAACAGGGATGTAGCTGGCCTGGCTTTCTATTGTGCTAGATTTCTAGATCAGCTGGAAATTAGTGGCATTAAGCACCTGAAATAGCAAGCTTTAAAAAAAAAAAAAGAAAAAAAAAGAACAAAAACTAGGAGTTACACCATGGCAAACCAGGCACAGTTGATCTACAGACCAAATGTCTTTCAAGTGGGTAGATAAACTACAGTCTTGGTTGTCTATGGTCAGTAAGGATGTCAAAGTTCTCTTGCAGGGGTTGGCTTTTTAACCCTAAGTAATTGATGGTGGGGCTAATTGCATTGTACTTAACTAAAATCTATCTACAGTTCCAAACTTAAGGCTAGGGAGATGTATACACTAGTAAAAATCTTGTGACACAACACAGTGGTGTAATTCATTATCCACTGTAAAGATAAAGCTGTAATGGAAAAGGAAGGGATTATTTTTTTCAAAAAGGTTTGTCTGCAGTGCAGATCTTACCACTGCTTCTGTAGTTAGAACTTATCTGTTGGTTGATTATGCATTTGAATGTTGCTATGCATTTGAGTGTAGGTAGAACCTTACTTTTCCCTGTGCAGCATCACTTTTTGCAATTTTACCACTCCCAGCAGAAGGAGCTTTTCATTTATGGGTATTTGCTGCATAAACAGTTTCTACCAGCTGAGCTTGCTTTGTTGGCATTTGTCAATCTCAGACACTTGAATGATTAGAAATAATTATCAATTTTACTCTCCCTTGCCATGACCTTCTCCCTGTATAGGAAATATAAGCTTGTGTTCTCTTGATGCTTTCTGAGCATTGTTCCCTGGGAACAACAAAGCTTATTTGGTGGGTTGCTGGTGGACCGTAAATTACAGGGTGCTGCTCTGCAGGCAATTTTTACCTGGACTTTCCTCTGCATGCCCAGCAGGCCTTAGTCTCTTGCCATTGAATGTTCACTCTCACTTTAATAGTTTGTGTGTGGATTCAGTGAGAAAAAGTCACCTCTTTGTTTTTTAATTCTGTATTGGAAATGTGCAGGAAGAGATTTTCTCCAACAAGTCAATCTTTATTTGGTGACCTGAGTTTCATTTTAGTAAACTTCACTGAGGTTGAAGAGTGTGTGGGGAAGTACAAAGGAGAGGGGAAGGGGATTGTGAAGCAGGGAGATGTAATCCCGGCTTGAAAATTCTGTTCCTGAAGTGACTCCTGATCACCGCCTGCCTGTTCTACGCACGAGTCTGTTGTTTTGTGTCTTGCAGTGGCATCACTGAAGGGCTGGCTGTTATTGCTGTGGGAGATCGAAAGCTACTTCCAACCGTATTTTGTGTGTCATCTGCAGAACCACCAGTCACAGTGAGTTTCTCTTCCATACACTCTGTTTTCCCCAGTGAGGATTTGTTAGCTGTAATCTGTGATCATAATCTTTTTCTCTATTTATACTTTGTCAGTTCATTTGCTACTGCAAAAAGATTTGATTTACCAATCCCAAGCCAAATGGATATATACCTTCCCTCTCCCCGCACACCCCCAAAAGCTCATACTGGAAGCTCAGCATTGCAAACTCTTATGTTCTGGCCACCTGCACACTCTGTGTGGTGGGATGACAGAAGACTATGTGCTTTGAGAGTGTGTTCTAATTATTAATCCAATGGTCAAGATGAGAATTGGAAAAAATGTTCTGTTCCTGAGAAGAGCTTCAGAAAGAAAAACTTATTTAAATAAAAAGAGGAAAGAAAATTATTGCTTGGGCAAAGAAGATTAAACTTCCCTAGTCATTCCAAGTGCCAGAAGCAAACACATCATACATGTGTGACATCTAGTCGTAGGCAGTGGTAGGTGAAAGAAGAGGGTGTCTCAGTGCTGGAGTGTCCCTGAGCCTGTTCTGAAGTACATTCTTAAAATGAGAGGCTGGAATTTTCTCAGCAGTGTAAGAATGCTAGCTAATTAGGTGCTATTTGGATACCAAACAAAAACTCTTGAAAATCCTCATTGCCTCAAACTCTTAATTTCTACCCAAAAGAAATACAGTGAAGAAAATGCTTCCCTACTGCTACCAGCTATCTGTGAATGTCTCCGTAGCTTGCCTCTGATTCTTTTGTCAATAATTCTCTTCTATCACTACTTCAGTAAAACGCACTCATGTGATTTTGATATTTCACACCCTTTAGGACGATGACATAACAATTGCTTGCAAAGCCATTTCTGGTTTTCAGACAATTATTTACCTATCTTGTCCTGGTTGGGAGAGCTGAATATGTCAGTCGTATATCTCCTGTGCAGAATCCATCTGCAAGACTAGAAGGGCAGGAGCAAATCTATGCATGTGTAAGTGTTTGCTTTGAGGAAAACTTGAGGACTCAATGAACAAAAAAAATGGTAAGTGCTTAAGGGAGCGTAGGACACTTGTACAATTAAATGACATTGAATATTGACATGGTTCAGATTTTGAGTTATGGGGTTGGGCATAAGGAAAGTAATTGTGCTCAAATAACCGATTCTCCTAAGAACTAATGGCAATAGCAGGAGGAAGCAATGTTTTAAAAGGGAAAAGCCCCAAAATCTCTCTTGAAAGGTCACAGGAAAGAGAATTGCACACAATGTGTATTTCTAGCCTTTGTCAATATTGCGGATGCATCAATTATATATGACTTGTAAAATAAGAACGGTGGTTCTGGTGAGCTGCTGTATTTTTGCCTGGAAGGATAGAGCCAGCTTGCAGCATATGTAGAGAATAACACCTGTCAGACATTGAATATTGAGTGAAAGTAATCGTTTTAATCAAAAGTAGTTAAAAGTGAGGCTGAGTTGAAGGAAAAAGCAACTGCTCAGCTGGAAGAGTGCTTCTAGTGCTGCAGACGTGCCCTGAGACACATATTTTATGTATTAGGAATATTGATCAAGGCCATGGTTGTACCTCACATTAGCACTGTTCTTCCCAATCATTGTGATCAAGATTTCTTAACTCTTTGAATTCCACTCCTTTCTCTGTGACCAAGTACAAAGCACTTGGTGCTGGTGTGATGGGAAACTCAGCACTTTTTGAGGTGGTTGGCTTGGCCCTTCTTTCCTTCTGATTCACTATTCTGCAGAAGCGATTGTTTTAATCACAAAAAAGCTAAAAAGCTGTGGAGAGCTCCCTCCCTCTACTCTCCTCTGAGGTCCTCTAGTAAACCTGCGAGTGAGCTTTGCCTCTGCTGAAGGCAGCATGATCTTGTCACAGAGGCTGCCTATGATCCCCCCCCACCCCCCCTTCCCCTGTTAGTCACTTAGATCCTTGATCCTTCCTGCAGGCATTTTCTCTGATGGATGGATCTTATGTGGACCGTGAATTTTGGCTGGATAAGATGCAGGAAGGAGAAAGGGTTTAAGTGAGATGTGTCTTGTGTCAGCTGACAGAGAACACCACTCAGAGGAGAAGCTTCTTGGTGCATGAGCAGATGCTTGGCCGAATCTACTGACTGTGGCAGAGACATGCCAATTTATATCAATTAGCATTCCTGACAAATAATCTGTAGTGATTGTGGATGTTTTCTCAAGAGAGTCATTATAAAGGGTTGTCACTGGGAACAGTGTACACACAATCTGAAATACACTCAGCTGATTGCTGTAAAGGAGCCCTAGACTTTGTGTTTCTGCAAAGAAACAGGCTAGGCTGCTTTTGGGAGTTTTTGGGTTTCAGATCAAAAGCAGGATTGCCTCCATGCACTTCAGCCTGCTTTGTATGTCTCTTGAGTCAATGTCCATTCCCTTTTGATTCTTTACCGTGCCCTGGGAAAGCTGAATCCCTGTCGGACCCATGGAAGCCACCTCCACTTGCATCTATTAAAACTAAGCTGACAGCAAAGGGGTGAGGTTGCAAATGCGTGATGTCAAAGGCCTTTTCTGTGCTCTAACATTTGGCTACCGCACCCTTGAGAAGGCTGGAGCCTGCAGTTGTACCTGCTTGCTCCAGGCTCCCTGGGCAGCAGGTCAGCCCTGGTGTGGTGCTGGATGCTTAGTAGATGTGCTGGCAGCCCTGCTGATGCAGTCGCATCTAACCTTGACCCACACCACCCTTGCCTTTCTGCTCTCACTTGCTTGTTCTTTTGTTTAGCCACCAGACTTTCTGAGTAGGCTGCACAAGTGCATGCTGGCTGATATGCCTGTTGAAAGGAGAATGATCTGGTAGCTAATTTAGAGCTCTGCAAGTCCAATTTCAGCTTCCTGGTCTGCCTGCAGATTCCCTCTGAGAATTCAGTATCGTGGCTTAGTCTGTGCCAGTTTTGTTTCTGTTAAAGGACACTTTTCATCTTGGATGTGAGCTGAGGGTGAGCATAGAGCCAGTGAATGCTCCAGTATAGTCATTGAAGAAGTATTAACCAGGATGTCTTTCTCTAATATTTCTGCACAGCCCAAACGGTATCCCTGAAGTCTTTTTAGCAGTCAAAATGAGATAATAAATGCTGTGTACAGCTGGGAAATGCAGGGCTGTATACCACACCAGTGGTACTGAGGTGGTTGTATACCACACCAGCGATACTGGCATGAGAAGCCAGCATCCACTGTCCCACTGATCACTGAGTGTGTCTCACCTCTCTGAGTGAAAGTGCTCACTTGGACCTGGGGCACCAGAGGTTGCAAACAGCTTGGGCTCACGTTCCTCGCCGCGGGCCCAGTGCCAGGTGCTGCTTTGTTCCTCGTGTCTTTGCCTTGTGTAGTCACATCTGCTCAACTCCGCTGGCCTGCCTGTTGTGTGCTGGCTTTCACCATTTACTGTAGGGTCGCAGGAAAGTCTTTTACCCTCCTTTCCAGATGTCACCGGGTGAAGTTTTTTTCAGACCCTGGCTATTTGATGGCTGCACAGCCTACCTCAAAATAGTTCCTGTCCCTGGTGTGTCAATGAATAGGATCTTGATAGGATTGACAGCTATAAAACATTCCCTCTGAACTCTGAGATGAAAGTGAGGCATTTCCTTTTTCCTTTCAGAGGGCTCATCTGCTGTAAGAGGAGGGAGGTGGTTTTCTTTTTTAAAGTGTATCTCATATCGGGTATCATAGAAGTGTCTATAGCACTTCACAGCAGCATGCTGTGATGCCTCATGCTATGGGAAACTGGGAATATGGGAATGAAAGGCAACTCTGCCAAGAGGCTTCTGTCTGCACTGATAGGATAGTACCTGAATCTCACTGGTAATACAGTGGAAAAGGAATAGGGTAAAATCAACTTAGGGTTCAAATATTCAGATTGCAAGGATACTCCCTGGGGTTTGGTCTGCTTGCTTGCTAATGGCGTAGCGTGGGGAACAGAATAGATTAAAGAAGTTTGTTTGGCTTTACACTACAAATACATAAGCCAACCTTGCTTTGGCTCCCAGCCCAAGGTGAAAAGGAGGGCTGATCACCCTGCTCTTTCAGTGTTGACAGCTATTGCTGTCAGGGACAGATGTGACTTGGGTCTAAGATTGAGATAACTGTGAGTGCTTTTTAGTGGAAAGGTAGATTTTAGGAGATAAAGCAATTTGTCTGTTCTACAGTAAAGGGAAACAACAGAAATGTTTTTGTGTTCTCTTGATGCATTTTTCTTAATTTTTTTGTTCATATTGGTTCCTAGGATAGTGCATGAATATTCTACAGTCTTGGATTATATCTTTGGTTCATCATGTCTCATACCCTGTTCCTCATTATGTCAAAGCCTTACCTGCAAGGAAGCAGGCAGTTCTGGGCTACCACTGGCTTTGGAGAAATAAGTCTGTGTGTTTGATCCTTATGAAAATGTTTTGAAGAACTGAACAAGAAAGCAGTGTAGGCATTTGGCGGACAGATTAATTGCATTCCTGTTTCAGGCTGTTTATTCATAGCTCTAACTTTTTTAAGGCAAAAAGGAGGCTATTTTTAGCTCGCCTTTTTTCCCCTCTGTGTTAACCCAAACAAATTTCCCTCTCGGAGCGGAGGGTGGAGTTGGGAGGAAGGAAGGGTGGAATTGAAACTGCTTCATTAAATCAGTTTCAAGATCATCAACACACAATTTTGTTTTCATATTACAGTTCTGAGCACACAAGAGTCTCTTTACACTTTTCAAAGAGGGGAGGCTTTGTGTACAGATGGGGAGGGTGAGGGCCTCTGAGACAATGAAGTGGTTATGGAAAGCTTATGACTTTTGCTTCCTGAATATTTTTTTTCTAGTTACTTCTATTAGGGTTAGTCTGTTATTTCCAAGGAAGGGTACAGCTTGGTGATAGTTTGCTCTCACAGCTTCCAACTCCCAGCAAATGCCTCATATTGCAAGATGACGGGAAGAAATCTGGTATCAGCAGGAAGGTCATTTAGATGTTGCTAAGCCACTGATAGATGTTCTCCCTG